AGTGTAAACTAAGGGTTTTTAAAAAAAATAGATTTTGGTTTATATCATCAGAACTTAGGTTCATGAGTTGGTTATGTATAAGGAAGGTATTAGCACCCTTTTAAGCCTAAAGTTGGTACCAAGCCAATTATGTGTTACTTTACCTAAGCTTTATCAAAGATAGTTTTATCATGCAAATAAATCAATTCCAATCCTTTTATTTATTTATAAAATATGGTGATACAAAAATTCTATAAAGAATATCAAGCAATCATGCAATAAATATTAAATCATACAATGTAAAAAATTTTCATGCCATAAATATAAAATCATATCATAGAATAAATTATCATGCAAATATATTATAAATCATGTCATGTAATAATATCATGCTTAGATCTACTAAAATATTCAAGCAAGAATGTCATGCAAATATAATAATTATTATGCAAATATATTAATCATGTAAATATATAATATCATGCAAATATATTATTATGCAGTAATATAAAATATCATGCAAATATATTAATAACCATTCATGCAAATAATAATATATAAATCATGCAAATAAACATGCAATTAGATATATAATCATGAAAATAATAATACATAAATCATGCAATCATGTAAATAATAATATATAAACCATGCAAAATATGTAATTAAATATATAATCATGCAAATAAACATGTAATTAAATATATAATCATGCAAATAAACATATTAATAATCAAGCAATTAAATATATTAATAATCATGCAATCAAATTAAATATAATCATACATTGTGTTTACACTATACATATATAATTTGATAATTGCATTTGCATTGGGGTTGGGGCATGTATTTGCATCATGTAGAGAATATTTGAATCATAGCATAACATCTGCATTATTGTTTAAAATATGTATTTGCATCATTTAGTAAGAATTTGAATTGTTGCATTTGCATGATTATCATGACATTTGTCGCATACAAGAATTTGACTTTGATTAAAAAAAATTTTGACTTTTGAAGCATCGAATGAAGAAGGTCTTTCATAATGAGATTTTTTTTTTTGACAAGAAAAACTTACCAAACTTTTAAAGTTATAGAGCCTTTGTTTAAAGTAGCTTTTTGAATGGGAATCCTTGAAATTTTGGATGTGAAACCCTAAAAGTTTTTTAAATGAGAATTTTTGAAATTTAAAATTTTGGATGTGAAGTCATAATGTTTTTGAAAGAGAACCTTTGTATGTGAATCTCTAAAATTTTATATGTGAATCCCTAAGTTTTTTAAATAAAAATCTTGAACTTTTGGGTTTGAATCTCTAAATTTTTCAAATGAGAATTTTTGAATTGTAGAGGTGAGCTTTGAAATCTTTGATGTGAATCCATAAAATTTTCAAATATGAAACTTTGAATTTTGGATGTGAATCATTAATAAAGATCTTTTGAATGCAAAACTTTGAATCTAGAGATTTTGGCAATGACAGAGTTCAAATTCTTGCGAATCTGAAAATTCTTGTGAATCTAAAAATTCTTGCGAACCTGAGATTCTGAGAATCTTGTGAATTCAAAATTCTTGAGAAACTGAATTTCTTTCAAATATGAAATTCTTGCGAATCTAAAAGTGTTATAAAACTTTAAGCTCTTGAGAATTTAAAAAGTTTAGGAATAGTAAGTTTTTGTGAATCTAAAAATTTCACTAATTTTTGAGTTCTTACGAATATGAAAAATCTTGCGAAACTTTGAGTTCTTAAGAATCTAAAAAACTTAAGAATTTTTCATCCTCATGAATATGAAATTCTTGTGACCTTGAATTTTTTTCAAATTTAAAATTCTTGTGAATCTTCCATTCTTACGAAATCAATTCTTGTGAATCCAAAGTTTTTATGAATCTTCCATTCTTGTGAACTTAGAACTTGTGAAACTAAATTTCTTTCAAATCTAAACTTCTAGCAAATTTGAAAAATCTTTGCGAACCTAGAACCTCTGTGAAACTTGGAACCCTATGAATCTAAAATCTTTGTGAAACTTGGAATCTTTATGAATTTGAAACCTCTAAGAATCTTGAATCATTTTTGAGCTTTTGAAATCTTTACGAAACTTGAAATTCTTACAAAACTTTGTGAATCTTGACTTTTTGTGAATTTTGAAATCTTTGGGAATTTTTTCTAAAACTTGAAAATTTTGCAAACTTTTGCAAATCTTGACTTTTGGCGAATCTTAAACTCTCTGCGAATATTTTGCAAAACTTAGAGTCTTGGAATCTTTCAATTTCTGTTAAGGAACCTTGTAAATCTTTGACACAAACCTTTAAATTTCCAAATTGTGTATATTTGAATTTCAAGCTAAAATTTTTGAATTTTCAATTTTTTCTAACCCTGAGCAAAATGGATGTCTTTTGACATTAAAGTTTTAAAGTTATTTGACCTCTGTATAGAGGAGCTTGTTTCTCATTTTTTTTAAAGTTGTTGAGCCTCTGTTTAGATAAGTTATTTAAAGTTTTCTTTTTTCAAAAGTTGAATGCCTTTATTTAGATGATTCTTTTTTTTCGGCCCTAAATGTAATGGGTATCTACTTCTTTGCACAATTTTTATTTCATAGAAATTGTGCAAAGAGATGCAACTGTAGACACCTCATTTTGTTCGAGAATTTTTTTGAAACCAAAATGGGCTTTGATCATAAAATGGGCCTAATTGGGAATTTTGGACCCAATAAGATAAAAGCCTAAAATTTTTTAATTGTAATCTAATTTTAATCCTAACTTTAATTTAGGTTTGATTTTTGTGATTTATTTTGGTAAAAAAAAAGTCAAAAAAAGAAAGAAAGCAAAAAAACAAAAAAGTGAGAATTTTTAGGTTTTGATTTGATTCTAGAAAATCTGAATCTTCAGTGAAAATGGGAAGTCTGAGGAGATTAAAATCAAATTAGATTAATCACAAAATCAAAAAATTAATTTATTTTTTATTTAAAGAGTTTAAATCCCTATAAAGAACGATATGTAGAGACTATTTTGGGGGGAGATTCGAGCAATTAGTTTTCTAGGTTAAGTTTTTTCAGTTTTGGAAACTTTTATTCTAGGTTTTTTGGAAAGATTTTGGGATCCTGAAGATTGATTCAATTCCTGGTTGTTTCAAAAATAATTTTAGTTTTGCGTTTTTCTTTGTAAAATCTTAAATCTTTGGATTAGGATATGTTTGGGTTGATTTGTAAGATTTTTTTGGAATTGTTGAATTTCCCTAAGTTTGGTAGTTTTTTTGGAAATTTTCTAAGGTTTTTTTTTTGAAAAAACTAGGTTTTCTTTTGGGTTTAGGTTGAATCTTTGAATTTTTCGATGGAGTACATGGTGGCCAAAAGAGTTTTACAACAGCTAGATTCTAGGTTCATAGTGGTTTCTAGGAAAGTTTGAACTTTTCGGCTGTCGGTTGAATTTATTTACATCAAATATTGGGTTTTCTGATTGAGATATGAGGAGTTTGAATTTTTTGTTAAATGTGAAGAGAAAAAATAGAGAAAAAAAAGTTTACACAGAGAAGGGCTTAGGACATTCAAAGGTAAAAAAAGAATTTTGGCTTTTATATAAAGATCAATACGATGCCATTTTTCATAGCCTAACCCACATCCCAACTCGTATGGAACTGCAGGTGAACCAGGTGAGGACCCAACCCAATCGTAAGGTTTGGTTTTTTTGTTTTTGGTTTTATTTTGTTTTTTGTTTTTCCTTTTATCTTCTAATGTTCCTATTCTTTATTTTCTTTTTTTGTTTTATTTTATTTTATCTATTTATTTATTTATTATCTATTTTAATTGTAATTGAGTTCATTAGAATGAAAAAATAAACTTTGATAATAACTATAATATATGTTTTTTGGCATGATTTTATATTATTTGCATGATATGATTTTATATTTATTGCATGATATGATTATGTTTAATTTGATTGCATGATTATTAATATATTTAATTGCATGGTTATTATATTTATTTGTGTGATTATATTTGATTGCATGATTATATATTATTTTATTTGTATGATTTATATTTGCATGGTTAATTAATATTTGAATGGTATTTTTATATTATTGCTTGATATTTATATTAATGCATGATAATTTTTGTTTATTTTAATTAATTTTTTTCTTTCAAATTTTAAAAAAGGGATTTAAAAAAAAAAGTTATTCAATCCTACCAAGCTACTGGAGAATTTAATCTTGAATTAAGTTTTACTAAATCATTGAAGGACATAACAAATTTTCTTAAAAAAATATTTCTTTGAAATCCTACCAAAATATTGGAGGATAATTTTTGACAAAAAATCTTACCAACATATTGGAGAATATTTTTGACTAAAAACCTAATTTATAGAAATTTACATGTGTAAGCAAAATTAAAATCACAGAGTATCTTTAAAGCCTAACAAATAGTTTCCTTGAATACTCATGAGGTGAGAAAATATTCTTAAATTATTACCAACATATTGGAGTAATTTAAGAAAAATCTTCAATATTAAAATTATCTGGTAAATTATAAATATATTTTAACGCTTGGATAACACAAAATTAAATTAGTACCATTCTTTAGATGGGCGCTGTGAAAGTGCTATAACTTTTTTCACACATAACCGTACTCCCAAACCTAAACTTTGGTTTGTGGACTATAATTTACCTTTTAAAGATATCCAAATCAAGTTTGGGGCTCCTTTTTAAAGTGAAATATATTTAGTTAGGTAGTCAATCACACCTAAACAAAAAAAGATTAGTAGCGACTACTGAATTTATGTCTAATGATAGGTCCACGAATCTTTATGTTATGACAATCATGATTAAGATTATGATATAACCTTATTTTATGAATTGTAAAAGTTAGATGTATTAATTGATTAACTTATAATGTATACATATAAAAGATTGAATCATACAAATTTTAAATGAAAATTATTAATTGAAATGTCTTTTCCAATATGGCTTTTATGTGGAGTTGCATGTAGAAGCTATTTATGCATTAAAAGTGTTTTCAATTGTTTATAGTTTTTCTCTATTCTCTTTGATTTGTTGATTTCACAATTGAAAAAAGTAGATGAAAAAGGGCGTTTACAGCTCTGGTGTTGGTGGTAACAATAGTAACCACAAACATGAGATTGAAGTTAATAATAAACTCTAAAGCAAAAGCTTGACCAAATCCCCCTAAAGGAATTGTCACTCTTTTTCCCATTATTGGATGAAATATTGCTTTTAGTTCAAATGCAGCATATAATGATGCCATTACTGGTGCTCTAATGTATCTAGCACATGCCCAAGATTAGAACGCGCAAATGTTTTTTAAAAGAAATAATATAAGTTTATATAAAAACTTGAAAAGAAAAAAAAAAGAAAAGCTGGAAGTTTAGTTGTACATGTTTCCAAGGAAAATGTTTGAGTGTAGGAAAGGCAATGGTGACTGCTACATTGAGATATGCCTTTAAAAGGTGACCAGTGGAGAGTATGACAATCATGACAGTAAGGCCAGTGAAGGCAACCAGGCCAATAAAAGTTTTAGAACCTTGTGTCTTTTGGTTCACAATGGTTGTTGTTGTCCTAGCAAAGAATAGTATGAGAGTGTCTATTAACTCAGCTCCTACCTAATTTTGCAACAAAAATGAAAAATTGGGATAGCTTTAAAAATCCCTTAGTTGAATTTTCAACTTATATGTTGGATTAAGCCATAAAGAACAGTACACCAATTTAAAACATGTCTTTTTCTAATCAAATCATTGAGAATTTTCATACAAAACTTTTAAATTAAAAGATACTTGTTATTATTGGTGTCTTTTTCATACTTTTCTTGTAAGTGAGACTGAAAAAAGTGGCAATGAGCAAGAGACATGAGGTAATCTCCTTTTTTTCATAAACCATTCTTTCACAATAAAGTAATTATAGCTCTTGAAAAAGGATTTTCTATTAATTCTACCTTTTTGATCTCTCTTAAACCCCTCAAAAAGTGGAGCACCAAAAGTCCCTAGTGTTGCAAATGTTAAAGAAGCTGATGGAACATCCTCATTATTATGCATAATATTCCAAAATGACTTGTTGAAGAAGAAACGAACTTTCAAATTAATAACTATCCGGCTTTCTTTTGTAATTGAAAAGGGAAAACCATAACTTAACCAATCCAAGACAAGTAGAAGAAGACATGTAATTGGAAAAAAAGCCTCCTTAAGTTATCTAATTCTTTATTAAAATTAAAAAAAAGACACATTTGGTTGATTTGGAATAACCCTTCCAACAAAGCCCTCCAATAAAAAAAACCACATACCTAAAGAACATAAATTCCTCTAAACATAAAAGAATAAAATATGCATATATATGGATGTAGGTGTGCACATAAGAAATAATGAATAAAGAAACATGGAATTTCAATATTTTATCCATGTAATGCATTGAAGCATTCAGAATTAGCCATGGCTTTGTTGATTTAAGGTTCATTTCATGCCTAGGGTGGGAAGGATAAGACAATTTATTATTTAATGCAATATTTATCAATGAATAGAAGGATAAAACAATATATAGATGAGTTATCTTATATGAATAGGATTAAACAACCTTATGAAAGCTAAAAAGATTGTATAATCCCACATGAATAGTGCTACACAAAATAAAACAAGAGCATTAAAGTTATAAAATAAAGACGATTCAGTGATTAGTCTTGTTTTATTCTATCCTAGACCCTACTCAAAGTTCTCTGCATCAAATGAAACTTAAATGCTCAGATGAGTAGAAAGGAACCTAAAGAATTCTTATAAAGTGAAATAATATTTTCAAATGTCCAAAACATACCTCATGACAACACCCTTACAAATGCACATATGCTCTCTTATAATGACTTAATTAAGGAGCCTAGCTTTCCAATCAAATAGATTGCTTGTGTAGATGCTACCAACAATCGGATTGAATAAAACGTAGCTCCAACTGCTCTAGCATCCCCATCATTGTCAGGCAATTCAGAGACACGTTTGAAACCTCTTATAGCAGTATCCATTGTAAGAGAAAATATTGCATCTGGTTCTTCTTTTCTAGTTATTAAAACCTATAAAAAAATACAATTAATTTAAGAAACTGCCAAAAAGGTCCTAAAAAAGGTTATTTAAAGCTAATATCTTATTAGCTTAGTTGTTACTTTTTGTCTACTCGCTTTGTCATTTTGTAAAGGCACAAAGTAAAAAAAAAAATGTTTTAATACAATGAAAAAAGTAAAAATTTAACTTTTTGAATCACAAAATGCATGGTTTGCTTCCATATGGATTGATTAGGTTTGAATTTGTGTCATATTTAACCCTTTTATTCATTTTTTTATCAAACATACTATATATCAACTAAAGAAAGCAAAACCCAGAATCAAAAATTGACAATTGTAAAGTTTTTTAGAGTTTTTGTTCAAAAAAAAAAGGAGAATTATAATGCAATCAAAAGTGCCAACAACACCATTAAAGACACGAATGTAGGCATAGGTTTCTTGCACATCTTCTTAATGAGTTTGCCTTTGCAACCAATTATGCTGCCCATTTTCAAAATTGGCACAATCAGCCGAAACACGCAATGTCCTGGGCATTCGGGCCATTTCTCTACTGTTGGATTAGTAGTGGTTGCTTCTGAAGGATTTTGCATTGATGCGGCTGTTATGGCCATGTTGGTTGGAGGGTAGATTTTTGCCAAACTGTTCTCTATAGCATCTACAATTTTCATGGGAGAATTTACTACCAAACATAAATCACCCCTAATTATTAATCTAAAAAAAATACAGATTAACAAAAAAAAATCATGCATGAAAAAAAATCAAAAACCACAAAATCAAAACCTAGAAACCATAGAAAGAACAATCTATATAATGCATAAAAAACAGAAACAATAAAACAAACAACAAACATGCACACAAACAACAATGTCAAAACAACTCAAATTGTCGGTTAAAATACATTGAATTTTTTCATCTAAGAAAAAAATCCCAAAAAAATGAAAACGAAAAAAGAAAGAGAGAGGATAGTTGTAGAATTGGAGTCAAAGTACGGTGTCAATGGTAGATATTAATATATAATTTAGAAAGGACCAACTAATAATATATAATATATTTATTTAATTTACTTTATAAGGCATATTTTATCATACTTATTAATATATATATTTATATAGGTAAACAATATACTAATAAAAAACATAATAAGAACATAAAATTATAAAACAAAAATATTAGTATGACAACGTTATACTTTTAATAATAACATGATTTACAATTAACTATTAAATTACTAATTATACAGAATTTTTTTGAAATTTAAAAGTGAAATAAGAAAGTATGAATAAATCAATCATTAAGCATTTTATCAAAAAAAGAAAATTAAATATACTTTTAAAAGAATGAAGATGAAATTTTGAGGCTAGAAGTATGATGTTTTCCTGTCCTTTTGTCAAATAGTTCAAATATGATCATTTTGTTGAAAAAAGAATTACAATATATTATAGAGATTTAAAGTAAAAATAAAAATAAAAAAAAATATAGGAAGAAAAGGAATTTTTAACAAATATAAATGTGAGAATATATATTATAGAGATTTAAAGTAAAAAATCTACGAAGAAAAGGAATTGTTAATAAATATAAATATGAGAATTTACAAGTAATAATTGTTGAATATAATAAATAAATAAAAATGTGATTTGAACTTTTCTTAAATTACAATGCATGAATTTAATTTATAAAAAAAAAATTATTTTTTAATTAAAAAACCAATTTAAATGTATTTAGTATAAATATATATATACTAAGGTGATTTCAAAATTTTGGGGCGCAAGGCCCCTCAAGTTCTCATTAGGAGCCATCCTTGCAGTGTTGTTGAAATTCAGAGTGAAGTTTGAGTGTTGAAAAAGATGTTTTTTTTTATGAGAGTTTTGGTACGGAATTGGGAGAAGAGATCAGAGAGTTTTTGGCATAATCTCTTTCTAAAATCGAAGTTAGTTTGTGAAATGATAATGTCTAAATTTATCTTTAAATTATTTTTTTATGAAATTTATTATGGACATGAAATTGGAGTTTTGGTGACTCCTTTTATATATATATATGTATAGATTTTCCCCCTGATAATAATTACATGCATATTGTTAAATCAAATACTGATGATCACGTAATGTATCTCAAAATGAGAAGAATTTTACTTATAATTTATTTTAATACAATAATATAATTATTCAATTATAATATAAAATTATGTAAATGTTTATCATTTATAAATGTGAATTTTATATAAAATTTTATTGATTTTCGTATAATTTTAAATTTTAATTAATTAATTATATTATAATTATTATAAGTGATATGTTTTTTTTTCCATTGAGTATCAAAGTTTTTAATCAAGGCAAGTAGTCGTGGCAAAATTTTAAGATATATATTGCGTGAAATGGGAACATTTTCTTCTCTATAGTTTCGTAAGTTAGTTTGCTTGCCCGACTTAGACTCGTCTCGAATGCGATTTTCATCTTCAAAATTCAGTCACAGTTATCTATCGAGTATTGAGATATTTTGCATTTTATTTGAGAACAGCAGGAGAACGAAAATTAAAAATTTAATATTCTAATGACACGACGTCACGACTGTTGCTTGACTGACCAAACTTCACACACACACACACATTGTGAATGAAATGTCTAACTGTAACTGTGAAAGTCTTTTCCTTGTATCATGTTGAGAAAATATTTATTATTTAACACATTGGTCCATGATATATATAGTATTTTAATTCCTTGTCTTTTTTTTGTTTTTTTTGGGCCAGCAATTCCTTGTCGAAACTAAGGTTCATGTGATGCATGCAACGATGGCCACTCGCTGGCCACAAAGGATACGGCGGCCATGTTTCTTATCAATGTCCACGACACCACGCGAAACATGTTGCAATTAGGCACGTACCCTTGTACATTTAATTGACATACCAAAACATTACAATCACAAGTTCACAACCAAACCAGCAATCCTACAGATGATGGGTCCCAAACATACATATCTAGTCTTTATAATCGAAACCATGTAAATTATCTGGTTTTCGATTATAATAATTAAGTTATTAGTCTCCTACACAATTTTTGGCATAATTAATTATTTATGGGTTTGTATTGACCAAAGGAAAATGATCATTTAATTTATACATTTTAAAAAATAACATCTAATATGTTTAAAATTCAAATTTTAATATCTATAATTCTTTCATAAAAGATCTCAATTTTAAACTACTTTATATTAAAAAAAGAGGATTATTTTTGAATGAGCACTCTTTTATATATATATATATATATATATATAAGTTTATGGTGATGATAGTCTTCTCTAATTCAAGTCAAGACAAATTGTAAGCTTTAAGAAAAATTTATATTGGATTTACACATCATTTATCGAAAAAAATTACTAACAATGAGATTTAAACTTATGCCTTACAAAGAAAATATTCGAACCTTACCCACTTAACTAACTTTCATTGTCAATAAGCACTCTTTTTTCCATTTCATCCATTTCTTGTTTAGGGATTGGTACTTCATTTTATTAGTAGAATACTAGATTATATGCATCATATCACTATTTATGCCATATACCTTAAGTCATGGTTGTTGCCGAGCTCAGCATTGTGTAATGTTATTTAGTGTCAGCCTGTGTTAGGTCCAATTTTATTATGTCAAATTAGAACTCAACATTTAATTCGATTTTTATATTCATTTTAAAAAATACAATAGATTTAAATTTTAAATTTTAATTTCTGAAAAATTTTTCCTAATCTTCAAACTACATTTTATTTATAAAAAATATTGTCTACGTCATTTAAATGATCTCATTAACATGACGCAGGCATGGAGACATTAAGAGTTGTACGCGTGGTATTTGTTTTTTCTGGCAATGAATGTTTAATTAAATGCTTGTGACGGTTGATAATTCAGATGAAATCAATTTCTACAATCATAAACAAGAGAGTAAGACAATTAAAGAAAAAAAAAATCAACCTCAACAATTTTTAACAAATTAACTTCAATCAATCATTTTGTTTTCTTTTGGATACTGTACGGGAAGATTCAATCAAGATAAAGATTAGCCATGACATGGTAGAAATAAAAAATTATTAGAAAAGGAAAAAGTTTGTCTTATGAAGGATAAGGGTGCCTCACTTGAAACCAACCTTAGATTATCAAAATCTTTCCACCTAAATAGTAGAGTAAGCAGCGTTCATGTTAATAGACTTTAATACTTATAAATTTTTTCTAATTATTGTAATTAGTTGCAAATGGCTCAAGATTAGGAAAAATAGCTAACGTAGTTTATTTAGAAACTATATATAGTCCTTTGACAGCGAAGGAGGGTAAAAGCATTTCCTCTCCAATAATTAGCTTTTGTTAATTTAGCAAAAATAAATCGAAGGATGAGATATCCAATTTTATCATATTGACCAACAATTATGTAATTTAATGAACTTTTAATTTCAACGATCTTATTTCAATTGTGGAAAAGGCAAATATTGATGGGAAAATTCAAAAACAAAAAAAGAAAGACAAATGATACGGATACACATTTAAAAAAATATATTTTTGGATAGAGACCTCTCGCATGATTCTCTAACAGTGCAATTAATAGTACAGCGTTAGTAGTAGAAATGCTTTGATGGTTAACGACAACTTTGTGGTTGTTGTTAATAAGCTTGTAGCCTTGTACCTAGCTAGGCTCAATGGCAATGAGAAAAGGATCTTCTTTTAATTGTTCTAAATCGATCAATTCATCCAAAAAATTGTTGAGAAAGAATAAAAACAGTTTTTTTTTTTTTTAAATCAAGATTGATTTTTTTTTAATACTGAAAAGAGAAGATACAAGAATTAGGACATAAATCCAAAGCTTACACTATAAAAAGCCCCCAACAACAAAACACTTTCCCTCTACCATTATGCCATAAGCATGTCTGATCGATTCACTTCTTTTGCCAGAGAATTTGCCATTTCATTAGCTTTAGGAAAGACATTCACAATACTCACATCCACTAATTCACCAAGGTCAATTTATGTTATGGCCTAATCTGAATAAAAACAGTGTTACATGCATTTATTTTATATATTCGTTTCACATAATTATATCTTATTTTAAAGACTAAAGTAAAAATAAAATAAAAATTTTAGTAGTTATAATAATTTTTTTGAAAACTTATATATTATTTAAATGTATTAGACTAGCGTATATAACTTCATTTTAAAAATAAAATAATAGTATTAAATACAATCATGAACCTCCAACAGTATAACTGACTGGTACCTAAGGTAAATAACATCTATAAATAGGGGCATGCAACGTCTCATTAAGCACACAAATTAAACAATATCCCAGCTTGCAGAGCTAGTAATAAGAGAGAGATAAAGATCGAGATGGAAGTAGTTCAAGTCCTTCATATGAAAGGTGGAGTTGGAGAAACCAGTTATGCAAACAACTCTTTAATTCAGGTAATTACCTGATCTTTATATATATATATATATGTGTGTGTGTGTGTGTGTGTATGTTTGTTTGACTGGAAACTATCAGAATATATTTTTTCAATAAGTTCTATATGCTTAAGATTTTTTTGACTTGAACTAATTTGGACAGAAAAAGGTGATATCCATGACAAAGCCAATCACAGAGGGAGCCATAACTGAGCTCTATTGCAGCACCTACCCTGCAAGCATAGCCATAGCAGATT